AAAAAAAAAAAAAAAACAATTAGAGTTAAGTTTTGCTGGTAAAGCACCCTGATAAATCCTGTCGCGAGTCACTGGGGAGTCCAAATTTAACACCTTTAAAGCATCGTAATCTTCCAGGAGGGAAAAAAACTTTGGAGATTTGCGGGAAGGGTATAAGGTATTAACCGGTAGGGTGCAACACTGATCCAGAAAGATATGTCAGTCATCTAAAAGTAAAAGCAAAATTTTACCAAAATAATCAGTATCCAGAACAGGGAATAAAATTTGCCTAAACTGATAATTCGGGTTAGCTTTCGGAATCAAAATACACAAAAAGTTGGTATGGCGAATGCCAAAATTAAGCAAATTCGGCGCAAACATAAATCACAGGTAAAATTCTCGGCGAAAAAAAGCCACTACGGACCAGAACCGGGTAAAAATGCGCGCCACTATGGATGTTCTTGTCCGGCAAAACATCTAATCAGCATAAAAGGAGGCGAGCGAGGACGAAGCTAACTGATCTTCCCTTTTTGAAAAGCTAAATGCTACGCCAAGTCATACATTAGTCTGGTCTCCAAAGCAACTGTCCTTTCATCGAAGCGCACTAAGTTACAGCATTCGAAGAACTGTTTACTGTTTAAAGTGACAAAAAAATTCCAAAAAATTGACATCCGGAATTCCAAGCAAGCACTTTAGAAACGAATTGATGGGGAATTTTTTGCAAAAAAAAAAGTTAAAGAGAAAGCTCAAACCTTAGCTGCCTTGAAAATATTGGAAATCACGTTCATCATGATTTATTGTGGTGCCGAGCACAGATCCACACAAGTTCCCTGCAAAGCAGCAAAATTTGTTAGTTTCAAAAAATTCATTTTTCCAATTTATTCGAATATGCTCTCGTTTACTGCGCTGCACGTTTCACGTCAAAAAATCACGAAAATACTCGGCATAAGGCGCATGAACTGCCGGATATTTTACGGAGTGGATATCACTAAGGATTTTTCTGTTCAAGACTATTAGGATTATTTGCCCTAATGGATATTCTCAGAAACTTTGTGTAACTTTCATCTCTAAACATGTAGATTGCTTTGTTTTTTTTTTTTTTTTTAAACAGCTAAACACATTTTAATTTATTTCATTGTTTGCTTTACTAATAATTTATTACTGTTGCTATTTTATTAACTGTTATTAAAGAAGCAATTATTATTACTTTATTTTACTATTAATTAGCATACCTACTGAACTGGGTATTATTATTATTATTATTATTATTATTGCTACTATTATTATTATAATTTTACCAATTGCCATTGCGATAACAGTGTTCTTGGCATTATTATGCTAAGGGTAATTATTTTTGGAATTAGACCGATATTTATTAATGTACTAAGAACTGTAAAATAATATAACGACACTTTGGTGTATAAATGATATAATATTTACTGGTATTGTTTTTGGTAATAAAATTTTTTGATATTATTACACCAAATATTATTTTATTAATTAACATTCATTTATTAGCTGCCATTTACTGTCATTAGTTTATTATTTTGATTTTAACAGTAACTTCTTTATTTTATCAAATAATACACTCGCTGCAACGAAAAGTTATGTAATTACCATAAAGAGACCATTACGCCGCTTCAAAGAATTTATATGAATGCATTTTGCTCAGAATCAAGCAAAATGGAAATGCCACCAATTGGATTGATGACGAGATGGAAATGAACGACGAAACAGCAGCTGAGCAAAGTATCGAAGAGGAATAATTTGTATGTGGCAATTTGGTAGGTTTTTTTTTTTTTTAATAAAAACCTGCTTATTTTTGTGTATTCAAAGACAAATAAGCAAAAGTATCTTTTTTAAGGTGCCTCACCTCCAGAAAATCTTGACTAAGTGGGTGTTGATGCAGAAATTGTGGAAAACAGAACTATGAATGACATGGCGAAGAGGGAATGGAACAGACAGCTGCTCGTTCAGGCTTCGGCTGTTCGCCGGAGGGCAGTTAAAACTACACACAAATTGTATCAGTATCAGCGGCACACAGTTTTTCGCCGCTTTATTTTTATTTTTTTATTTTTTTTTTTTTTACAAATTTCGGAAAAAATGCAGCGAAGCAATTAATGCAAAATAATATTAATGTAATATCGAATAGAGTCCCCCGATGCCAGAAACCTATTTAAAGCATTATCGGCCCCCGCACATATATTAGTTTTGACAGTCTATAAATTCAGATTGGTGCAAAAGTAGTACTGCTGGCTTCTCCACATGTATTAGTTTCGATGGTCTGTTTACATTCATATCGAAACACAAATTTGCCATTGGTATCCACCTCGATAAACATGGTTCGCCAAATTCTTCACATATATTAGTTCCACTAGCCTTTCCGCCTCAGTCCTTCCATAATTTTATATATCCCCTTCAGTTAGGTTGAAAAAACTCTCAAAAACCGTGAAAAGGCGAAATCCTCGTAACTAAGAGCGGATTAATATATAAAATTATGCCCACACTGTGCCCGGGCCAAAAATTAAGAAATTACTAAAACTGAAAAATAATGAAGTTTGTCTGGCAATGTACTCAATTGTACTAACAGATGTAATTGTCTGTGCCTTCATGCGTGAAACAATAGAGTAGGAAATAAGGGGCCAATCTACACAATATGTGCAAGAACACAAGTTTGAAGGCAGATTGCGTTTCATCGCTTAGCTGTAAACACGGACCAAACGCAGCATGTAGGATTGGGAATCATCATATACCGCCAAGTATATGAGAGTATGTGTCAAACGCATAAAACCAGAGGAGACAGATGAGCGAGGAAAAAATATGTGAAGATAGAGGAAACAAGAACATTTTTACGTACATTTTTAGAAGCAAAAATTCGCTAACAGTTTTGTCAACTATTCTTTCCTCTTTCCTACTTTCATTTCACTCGTTATAAAAGACGGAAACGCGCA